GAGAGAGAGAGAGAGAGAGAGAGAGAGAGAGAGAGAGAGGAGAGAGAGAAACTGTGTGAGTTTATATGTGTCACCTGCATAGGCCCATGGAGCTTGAGTTATCGGTAGTTGTGAGCTGCCTGGCGTGTGTGTTGGGAAGCAAACCCCTTTTCCAAGAGTGGCAAGGACGCTTAACCGCTGAGCCATCTCTCCAGTCCCCCAGTACTAATTTTTTAAAAAGTAACATTTTAGTTTGTATGTAATATACTGGGTTTCATGATGACACTTTCACACACACGTATATCATTGCACCTGTTCATGATTGCTGCCCCTCCCTCCTCTGCTCTCTTTTCCAGCCCTCTCAGGGCTCTTTCTTCCACAGTCACCCTTCTGCTTTCATGTGACTTCATTTAATCCTTACAATAACTCGTGAGACAAGAAAATCAAAGCACCTAGAAGTGTAAATAACTTGTCCCAGGTCCCAGATCTTGTGAGTGAGGGAGCTGGGCTTGTCACCCGAGCAGTGGGTTTCCACGGTAGTGCTTTTAATCACTGAGTACTCAGATTAACACAGAGTGCATGAACACAGTTGGAGAATATAATTACCCTAAAAAATGATGGATCTGATTCATGATCAAAACAGCAATTATAACCGGAGAAACAGGCTTCTTCCACACAATTTCTAAAGGAGACCCTGGGCAACTGAAGATAATGAAATTGGTATTACCACCGTTTCGTTAGTAAATCATGGCTCCTGGGATGCTGTGAAAACCCCACTCTACATTCCCTTTGGAATCATTCTTAGGATTTCTGTTTCTTCGCCTGGTAGGGGCTTAATAAGGAGCATCCCAACTGGGTTAAAAAGAAATAAGAATTTAGACCAAGAACGGAATGGTAGAGTAAGCTGAGGAGAACCAATGGTTATCACAAAGGGCCTTTGAATGTAAGTATTTCCATTGTTCCTCACATCCAGTCACTGGCACTACTGAACTCAGTGGTCACTGTGGTGGGGCCTGGACGACATCAGATGAGTAGGGAAGAATTGTTTCTAGTCGCTCCTTGCCTTGTGTCTGTGCCACGCCCTACAGACTCAGCCATTTTCCACATTGACTCAAGAGATAGTAAGCATAAAATGAAAACAGACTTCCAACTCTTCGAGCTTTTCCACAAACAAGGGGCCCACAACTTACCTTTTCATTGTAGATGTCACCAAGCATCGTGCATGCTCGTATCACATCGAGGCTTTGGAAGTTGTTTCTTGCAATTTTCACAGCCTTTTCCAGGTAACCAATTGCTTCTGTCATCTTTCCTTGGCTAGAATGAAATAGGGAACCATTAGTGTGTATTACATTGTTTTGAAAATCAGGAATCTTGTGTCTTTGCAGTAAAAAGTGTGGGGTGTCGGCCAGATGGTGAGACTTACCACCCACAGTGCATGAGCCAACACGTCCCTCAGGATGTCACACTTACAGCACACTGTGGGAGCAGACACGACTCATCCCTGTCAGGGTATACAGTGAGTTCAAACTTGAAACTTTTTAAAAAGCTGTATGCAACATTTCCACCCCATCCTTTTCCTGCTCCAACTCCTCCCATGTTCCCTCCACCCTCTCCCAAAATTCATTACATCTTCCTCTTTAATAACGTTTATACACACACACAGACACACAGACACACAGACACACAGACACACACAGACACACACAGAGACACACACACACACACACACACACACACACACACCTGCTGAGTCCATTTAATGTTGCTCCTATGTTTGTTTTTTAGGGATGAACACTTGGGATGGGATAATCTACCAGCTAGGAAATAGGCTAGTAGCTGTTAGAGGCTGAGAGAAGGGGATGAAGGGTAGTTAGTGATCCACACAGGGTTTTTTTCAGGGTTAATGGGAAGTTCCTGAAATGAGAAGGTAGTCAGGGCTACACAAGTCTGTGAAGGTATTAAAACCCCCGAGCTGTGGAATTTAAAAAGGAAAATTTGTGTATCATTTTGTAAATTGTCTCAAAAAACTCTTTTAAAACTTCTAAAAAGTATATTAAAAGTGAAAATGCTAGATGGGCACTCCTTTAATTCCAGAATTGGGAGGATCTGAGTTTGAGGCTAGCCTGGTCTACACAATAAGCTATAGGTCACTAGCGTCACACATGTAAGTGGTATGTATTCTAGCAAAATGCTCAGGGACACATGCACTTCCCAGCAGAGTACACAGCATGTATCAGTCATGGAGATACTATTGAAGGAAGGAGTGGCTGAAAGCTGGACTGGGGAAAGACATCCACATAGCTAAGCATCAGGGAGGTTAGGGAGCCTCAGCCATTTGGACATTTTGAGTTCATGACTGCTTTCAGTGACAGTAGGGGACTTAATGAGAAGGGAACACAGCTCACTCAGCTGGAAGGACGTGTGCTGGGTTCGAATCCCAGCATGGCATGAACCATGTGTTATCTTACTACTTGGAGTTCAAGGTCATCCTTGTGACTTACAGGCCAGACTGAGATACATGAAACTGTGTCTCAACCAAGCAAGCAAGCCCAGAACTTTCAAAGCCTAGTGGCTGTCCTATAATCAAATAGTTTGACTGTCAATTTGGTGAGATAAGTGTCCTAGAAATCACTATGCAGCTGGAACTGTGATAGCCACTAGGCATGGCAAATAGTCACTAAAACCCTGGAGCACATTCATTTGACAATCTACATCAGAGTAAGGCTAGTATCTGAAGGGTAAACTTTGTCTTAAAAGGCAATTAGAAGGAACTTAAGATCAAATCTCGAGCTCAATGCTGACCTTGAAGCATTCATAGAAGTTAAACTGTAATACACACTAAAGCAGCCACCCTTGCGTTTTGAACTGTAGGTAACGGACCACAGATCATCACTTCCTCCTCCACCCTCACCTAGGCCAACATGAAGGCTAGGGGGCACAACTGTGAATGAGTCCCAGATTCTTTCTCCAAATGTTGTCCTCCTTCGGTGTCCCTCACATTTGAACAATCTGTGCTCTCCTTTCACTGGTGATCTCACTCTGAAATTGAACTTTGGACTTCCACCCAGTGTCTTGCTTTCCCCTACAAAGAATGGCTACCCTGGGTGGGCCTCATATGCCAGTTGGTGTGACCTGATCTGCACCCATGTTTTAGCAAATCTGTACTCTGGAGGGCTCTGATTTTCCTCTTAACTGCTCATCTGCCCTTCCTGTCCCCAGCTGTTCTTAGCATATGAAGGAGGACAGTTCTCTTCAAGTGGTTAGTCTCAGGGACAGCACCTGCTGAGAAGGAGGATGATGTTTGTGATCGTTCCTTAGAGAGCTCTGTCAGAGCATAGTGGTGACAATGTTCATAAATAAGTTAGTGAAGTTTGTTCTGAAGTAGGATTATATGTAGAGATTTGTCCTTCCTTCCTTCCTTCCTTCCTTCCTTCCTTCCTTCCTTCCCTTCCTTCCTTCCCTCCCTTCCTCCTTTTCCCCACCTCTCTTCCTCCTCCTTCTCCTCCTCCTCTTCCTCCTTTTTTTTTTTTAATGTTTTCCAAGGCCGGGCAGTGATGGCACATACCTTTAACCCCAGCAATTGGGAGACAGAAGCAGGCAGATTTCTGTGAGTTCAAGGCCAGCCTGATCTACAGAGCGAGTTCCAAGACAGGCTCTAAAGCTACACAGAGAAACCCTGTCTTGAAAAAACAAAACAAAACAACAACAACAAATTATTTTCTAAGTGTGACTCTAATCTTTTGGACTATATTAAAGTTATAGACTTGGATAAAACTCCCATTTCTGTATGTTTAACATGATTAGAAAAAGCTCTGAGGTGAAAGCATTGTAAATGGCAGCTGGGTATATGGAGGCGATTCCACAATGACCATCAGTGAATAAACAGGTGATGGCATCCACAGCTCTTTTAGAGACTGTCCAGCTACCATGAGAGACAAACTCAGTGTAGCTCAGCATCCACTGTGAAAATCTCCACCATGCAATAACTGAATGCTGAGATTCTAGTGAGGGCTCTGCCCACAGACACATGAAGCCCTGGTCATCAGAGCCTATTGGATCATTCTTTCCTCCTTTTTTGTTGGTAAACCAAAACTCTACAGACCAGAAAAAAAATGGAATTTCATGTTCTGCAAAGTTGTGATTGCCTTTCATAATCCCATATGCATCATTTTCATGCCAAAATCATGACTTCTCTTCCAGAGTGAGGTATACATAGGTCAATGCCATAGAAAAGTTATGCTGCTTACGGAGCATATGTTAAAATATAAAGATGGGTCCCTAACTGTTTTAAATTAGATATTTGTCTGTATGCATATGTTTTCAGGGAAGATCATTTGCTATTAGATAACCAATCGGTGTGCTTTTTCCCTGGAGAAGACTATTTGTCCAGCTCTCTGCATTCCTTAATTATCTGTATTTCTTGGTCTGAGATTGCTAACACAAACTGAACAGATTGTATTTATGTATTTAGGAATATACATTCTACACACATGCACACAAATATATGTAACAACAATTAAAAAGAGGCTATGAATATGAAAGACAAGGGGCTGGGTGGTACATGAGAGGGTTTAGAAGGAAAAAAGAGGAGGTTAAATTATATAATTATAATTGCAAAAAGGTAAAAAGTTAACTGTCCACAACAAAACTAAAATGTATTGAAATGAGTATTAAATATTAATAAATAAAATTAACATAAATAAAACATATATGCCAAAAATAAAATGCTAATAAATAAAAGTGAAATATAGGGTAAAATAATATTTTTAGGGCTAAGAATATTTTATCAAACTGATGTTAACATTTCAAGCTCTTTTCTGTGCTTGAAAAGAAGGAGACATCTTTATATACCACTTAAAAGTCAGGAAAAATTCATTCTTGGCATTTAGCCAAAATAGACCCACCAAAGTGTATTTGTGTTTAATGTTCTTTAAAAAGTGGGCACATTTTGGATAGAAGTATAGTTGACATTAGGTTTGGCCTGCTGAGGATGGTTAAATTATATCATACTCAAATATCAATACCTAAAGTTCAGTAGGAAAGAACCACAAATGGTATAAGCGCAGTGAATATGGGGTGTTTTGAACTTCTTTGCAACACTTGACATGCAACAGATTCCCAAGCATCCGGAATTACCCTGGACTTGTTATGAAGCAACACTAGAGAAAGCCTTCTCATCTTAAGTCGTATGTTGCATTACCATCCTCACTCTATGCTATCAACCCAGCAACTGGGATATAAACAATACGAGTTTTGAAGCTCCCCAGAAAGCTTCAAACCCGGGTGTTAACACAGACTTAGAACCTAGTTTGTCCTTGGGAGAAGGGGAAAACAATTTTTTTCCTAGAGAAAGGCTACAGATTATTTATATAAGTTCAAAGACAAGGTTAAATGTTAAACAAATATTAATTCCAGTTTTCCTATATGCAGTGCACAGGTGCAGTTTCAACATCAGATTATATGATATAATCATTAAATTCATTCAACCAGACCTTAGAGACTTAAAAACATATATTCTGAGGACCAGGACTCCTCGGTCCAGAGAATGAGAATGAAACAGGGCAGAATATTTGTGTATCAAGGTGATTCCAGTTTCCAACTGGGAAAACAGGACTGTTAACGCCCACGTCCCCTGACAACTGTCCAATTATGTAGATCACACTTGGCCTAGTGTTTGCTGAAGAAGTAATCAATAAAGGATGTGGTTGACTGAACATAGATTTTGGTTGAACCAATGCATGAAAACTTAATCATTTACTCAGAGAGAAGAAATCAAATAGAGCAGAGATGAAACAGCCACTGAGGGGTTTGTTGATTGTGGCACCAAGTTTGTGGGCCACAGATGAAAGTAATAAGGCAAATGGGATCAGTGACAGGAGAAAATGTAAAAAGCTATTCTTAATTCCATGAATTAATAGAAACATTTCTGGGGGTCTTTTTTTGGTCATCTTTAGAAAATTTCACATCAAAGTCTGGATGTTCCATTTTAGAGAATGTATGAAAATTACTAGGGCATGTCATTTCTCTCAAGCAAGAAGAAATTAATCTTCAGCTATAACAGAATGGTAATTTTCACACTGGAAACTTTGTTGGGATTGACTTGAAGATCTCCACTGTGGAAAGTTTTCCAGGAAATCATTTAACTCAAGTGTGCAAGGAAATTTACCATAGGATTGGAGGAGAAACACAGAAGTGGGATAGCGGTGACCAATGTACCCCGAACACAGTTCCTCGGGTTCTTCTTTTTCTAGGCCTTTTTAAAAGTACTTTTCCTGATTATGTTAAAGAGTTGTGGCATTTCGATAAAGTGAATTTGTAAATGAGAATATACAAACATACATATTCCATAAGGAAAACAGCATGCACTTGAACCATCTCCAAATCATCATCATAATAATAACAACATTACTTGGTAATTTCTCAACTCACTTTTTCTTTATGAATCACAACTGACTTTTATAGCAGCATCATAAGGCTCTTTCAGAATTGATTCTTTTTGTCAGTACTATTTCATGTAAGAAAGAAATGGCATTGTAAATGCTTATTTTCTTTTTACACTGCTTAAGTCCTTATGCGGTGTATATTAATTACACTAACAGAAAACAAAGCTGTCCACTCCTGAAGCTCTCTGAATGTGTCACACCAGGTCTGGCTCGAGCAACACCAAAGGGTAACTCCATATCACCAAGTCCTGTCTTGAGAGACAGGTGTGTTTCTCAGAGAAAGCTTAGTATAAATTCTTATAGCCATTTTAGAAGCTTCCAGCTTACACACCTCTCATGCACACTCTGCTGATGGCCTTAGACACCCACTTATCCTAGACATGGCTAGCCTCTTCCATTTCCTTTAAAGAGATAAAATATGTTTATAGAGATGGGCTGCCATTAGCGAAACTGGTGCCATCACACAGGTTAGGGAAGATGAGATTTAGGGGGAATGCTAAGCTTCACACACAACTCGATTTATTTCTCAGCCACCATTGCCATAATTTTTTCTGTTTTGCTCATGTCACCTTTTGTCGGATGCCTGTTAAGCCAGAAGGACAGTTGAGGATTGCGAACAGGGTTCACATGTATGTACTTGTGTGTGTTTGCACAAGTGTGCGCATGGTTAGCAAAGTTATTATCAATCCTTCAAAGCAACATTTTCCCAAAAATGACCACAAAAACCTGTAAAGATTTTGACAGTTACATGGAATTAGTTGTATTTGGCATAAAAGTAAAATGGATCTGTTTCTCCTTGTCTCTCTATGTGTCTGTGTGTGTGCCAGAGGACGATATTAAGAGTCTTTCTTGATTACCCTCCACACAATCTTTTTTGTTGTTGTTTCTGTTTTTGTTTTGTTTTGTTTTGAGACAGTGTTTGCTGTGCATCTCTGGCTGGCCTGGAACTCACTTTGTAGACCAGGCTGGCCTCGAGCTCACAGAAATCTGCCTGCTTCTGTCTCCTCCTGAGTGCCAGGATTAAAGACGTGTGCCACTATTGCCTGTGTCTCCACACTATTTTATTTTTTGAGACAGGGTCTCTTATGGAACCTGGAGCTCATCAAATAGATGATCTCTCCAGCAAGCCCTGGGCTCCACCTGTCTTGACTTCTGCAGCACTGGGATTTTAGTGTGTTGGTACCACAATGCCGGTCCTTTATGGGGACGCAGGAGATCTGAACACAGGCCTTTATGCTTTCCCCATAAGCACTTTCCCAAAGGGGCCATTCCCAGGGCTCTGTGTGCAGTGTTGCTGAGAATATAATATAAGAAAAAGATTTTTCCCTGTTCATAAGAAAAACTTCTCCCCCTTGCCTGCCATGTACAGCTATAGCATTTCCCACCTCAAACATAGTAGACCATCTGTGTTAGGATTTATCAAGAATTCAAATTCTCAGATACAGATGGAAAAATCCCAGATGAAACATCTATTGAACCTTTGTAGATCATTTGAAGCCAACCCCAGTGTCCAGAAGTTCCAAAATGAAATAGGAGAGTCACCAGTAACCAAAGGTCATCACGATGTTTATCCTGTGACCTGGCAAAGGCTTAGAAAAGGTTTGTAAGGGAACCATTCTGAGGGTTTTATCTCTTTAGCTGCGTGGGATGCAAAGAAGTTTCCTTTTGTAAGGATTATTTCATAAGCATGTGAAGGGGCACATTAATATTACGGTGCACACTTAGACCAGGCTTGTCACTACAAAGTGAGACTCTTTTCTAGGGGACGGAGAGATGGCTCAGCAGTTAGAGCACTTGGCTGCTATTCCAGAAGACCAGGTTCCATTTCCAGTACCCACATGATGTCTGACAGCCGCCTCTAACTCTAGTCCCAGAGGACCTGATCCCCTCCTATCAGACACACACACACACACACACACACACACACACACACACACACCATGCATACATAAATAAAACAAAAAACAAATAAAAACAAACAAAACCACCACCAACAAAACCCTCCACAAAACCCAACTGTTTTCTACTGATCTGCAACAATGTCCATACCAGAGGCAAGTAATTTAGCAGCTGAAATGAACTGGCCAGGAAGTGTACAAGTAAGTCTAAGCAGATATTCAGCTGAATATTCAGTGATCTCAGCTGCTATTTGGAGAGTAGAGCTTCCAAGAGACAGCTGGTGGTCTTTTGGGGACTGTCACCATGTACATTTGGAGGGCCCTGTCTCTTTCCAGTAAACACCCACACTCTCACCAGTACACCTTCTCCTAGACATTTGTCCAACAGTGACTATGCTTTATCTGATATCTTATAGGACACCTTCCATTCCGTTGGTATGGCCATTTTAAGTAGTGATTTTTAGTCAGTAATATTTATGTAATGACTCTTTTAGTTCATGAAGCATCTGAGCATTAAATGCCTTCTAATAACACCCCACCTCTTTAGACTGCTCTGTATACATTTACAATGGAAATGAATATGACAAAGTTACAGTTTAGCACATTTTACACGTGCAACTCTTATGATTATTATTACAAACAGGCTGTATTTTGGCTCTAAGCTAATACACTGAAAACCAAGACTGTGTGTCTGATGACTTTTGGTATTGTGAGCGGCTTACCCACAATCTATATACAACTCTATAACAAATGGTGAACTTGATCACACGGTGGCAGCAATGCAATAAGTGAGGGACAATCAGGAGTTTCCCACCAAAGGAATCAGAAGCTGTCCACAGAGATTTGTATTCATGTTTCTGTTTCAGATGAAATGTTGGGAATGTTGGTTTGCACCCAACTGTTAATCCAGGTTTGCTTCATGGAAGAAATGTGGAAGAGGTGTAAATAGAAACTCTTCCTGAAGAACTCAGGAAAGGCTAGGCATGGAGGCACACTGCCTGGTACAGGCTCTCTCAACCCTGGCTTATGAGATTTGACCTGATTTTTCTCTTCTCTGGTTCATTCAAGGTCACCACTAAACTCACCGAAAAGGAAAGGGAGCTAACCCAAAGGAGGAACAGACAAAGACGACTTTGGACGCATCTTTTAAAAATACCACACTAGTTTAAAGTAACTTACCATCAAAGGGTCACTTAAGAAGGGCACTGCTTAAAATTTAAGCAGGCAGTAATGGAAAGCGACAGACCTCAAACAATTTAAGTCTTTCACAGCTGGGTGACTCCACAGTGACAGCAGGACAAGGCTGTGCTAACTTACCTCTGCAGGACCTTGGCGATGGCCTCATAGGCTCTCCCCAGGTTCAGATCATCACCCATGCTTGTGGCGATCTCACTATACCTACGAAGCACCTACGGGGAGAGGAGCATGCTGAGCAGAGTCTGTCCACTTTATATAACAGACAAGATAGAAATTAATCACTCTTAAACATCTAATTTTTTGTTTGGTAAAGAGTCACGCTGGCTTGGTTTACTTTTGTCTGTGCTGTGGTTTGTTTCACGGGCATCTCTTTGAGCCATGACAGTGAAGTCTTACTTTAGTAATTTTTTTCCCTCATACCATCCCAATTCTCCAAAGTTGTTTATATAATGTAGGTGTGAATAAATAATTGAATGGTTTACAGCATTATTTTAAAATATGGAGACTATTACCTAGGGTAATATAAGGCAGATTAGAATGTTCTACTATAGCAGTTCAAATATCATGGTTCTTTCTATAAATAGAGCTTTGAAAAGAATGAATTTAGGTGCTGGGCCTTTTCTAAATCTGTCATTTTAGGAGAGGCTTATGTGTATATAGCACACACTAAAAATATTTCTTACAAATGTACTTCATTACCAGCAATCTCCCTGATAATCAAAAGATTACAGCTGCCACAGCCAAACATATGATCTTAATTTAATTTAACATTGACATCACTGGTGTGCTGTCATTTTCATCTTTTTAATTTCCCTCTCCACTCTCTGGTCAGAAGAGGAAAATACAGAAACCAACATCCCCTCTCTTTCTTCTTCCTTTATTGTTATGTGACCCAACCTATTACACACATGAAGACACAGGAAATCTCCAAAGACCTCTATGAAAATCCTTTTTGCACATTTTCTAGGAAAGAATTAGAGAAAGTCACTTTATGGCATTTGAGCGGGTGAGCTGGTGGGGGTGGGGCATACAGCTGCCTGGTGTGCTCCGTCTCAGTTAACAGCATGAAGGGTTTAAGTACTAGGACCGGGCTGATGTTGGTCTATTCTTTTTCCTCTTGTTTCTTTTTTTTATGCTTGCACACTGCCCTCGCCAGAAACCCCTTTCCCCATTTGGTGTCTATTTCCTTCCTTGAGACAATCTCCCTTCCCCATTTCTTCCAAGTTCACATTTGGGAGATAATTCCATGAGGCCGTCACGATCCCTCATTAGACACAGCTCTCCTGTGCTTTACAAGGGATTCCTCATGGTGAGACCTACCCATGGGTTTGCATCAACTCTGGTATTTGATTCCTGTTAAGTCCACAAAGTTCTAAATGCTGAAAATACTTTCAGTAGTTTCAATTGACCAGAAACGATTGCACTTCTTTATAAGATATAGTGAGATGCTTTTCCTGTGTATAACTGGGGCGTCTACTCACCAACTTTCCAACTTGGTATTGTTCGATGGTAATAATGTTCAAAAAAACAAACAAAAAGAATATACATATTTTATCAAGTTTTTTGTCTTTGTGTGTATGTGTGTTCATGTGTGTGAATGTGGGTACGTACATATCATGGCACATGTGTGGAGGCCAGAGGACAGCCATAGGTTTCAGACCTCACCTTCCACATTTTTGAACAGAGACTGTTGTTCACACTGTGTGACACTAAGCTGGTCCACATGCTTCATTGGAGTTCTCCGCCTACCATCTTGCTACAGAAAAACTGCTCACACACACACTACCACATCTGGCTTTGTGTGGGTGCCGGGGATCTAAACCCAGGTCCCCACACCTGCACAGCAAGCACTCTAGCCCACCCTTAGCAATTTGGGAATATATAACACATGATCATTAGCCTTTATCCTTATTTTTAGGTTTCTTAATGACACTCCGAAGAAACCTGAGGATATTCTTTTCATCCTGTCCTCACAGCTGACAATTCACTGGTTTAACCTGAGGTGACTTCACAGCCTATTCTGAGGCATGAGATAGAACTTCTGAATTTTTTAAATGTATAAGAAACCTTGTTGAACTGATGTACAAAAACATGTAGGAAGAGACCCCATGGAACTTTATTTTTGTCCACATATTTTTAGATGACATTCTAGAATCTCATATTAGAGGCTGACTATTAATATACTTTATGCCCCAAACAGTTCATTTGCTTTTTTTTTTTCAATAGAAACTGTCACTGTGGCACCAGAAATGCTTTAAAACTTAGGGAGTCTTAAAATGGCAACTTGTTTGCCCACTGAGAACGTTTATACATTGCCTACTAGTCCCAACTTTGGGCTGATGGAGCTATGAGAATCAGCAACAGTTTGAACGAGGTAGGATTCTCCGTGGCATATGCTGCTGGCCTTAAACAGTGACATGCTCATGTTCCTAGTTACTATATGACTTCTTCATGGTTATGGATGAGGTCTCTTGAGTGAACGCTAACTCAAGTGTTCTCTCTTCCTCTTGCTCACCCCCCTTCCCTTCTGTGAGAAGGGATCTCACTCTGTTTCCCAAGCTGACCTCATACTCTCAATTCAAGCAACCCTGCCGTAGCCTCTTGAGTCACTGGAATTAGAGGCATGAACCCAGCCTCAAACTCAGAATAAGAAGGTTGAGATGTAGGCTTTAGTTCTTCCATGCCTGTTAAACATTTCAACATGCAGGCCAAAAGAGCTCTTTGTATTTAATTTCCTCACTAAAGAAGGAAGCTAAATGCTGCCATCTGGCTCCTGTGACTCCATACATCATGACAAAAGTCTGTACACAAGACAGCAGGTGTTCTTACACTCCTTAGGCTCCAGGAGCACCCCTGGCAGGAGGTCCCTCCCCAAAGTAAAGACAACCGATTTTATTTGTGACTTGAGAAAAATCTTGTATCTGTTTAAACAGTTGCCCCAGAACCAGGAGCCACATAGGCAGTTGGAGAGACATGGTTAATTTTTTTGCCATACAGGTAAGTTTTCAAGTACATGAGAGCCACACTGGGTATCTTGTGGGGGATCTGGTCTAAGCTGGGTTTCTCTGCCTCAGGAACATGAGCTCAAGAGAAGAGAAGAGACATGTGTGTGGGAGAAATCTAAGGATGGATGGAGTAAGAAGTTATTAAACTAAAAGGAAAAACTAGGACTTTAAGATGACAAATCTCATGGAATTATGAATTCTGTGGAAGATGGAAGTTTTAACACTCATTGTGAGAAGCTACCATGATGGCAAATGTCATCACCTTAGGAGATTAGTAAGCATAGCCCCTGGGGTGTGAGCAGGTATCTCTAGAGAGGATGGACTAGCAGGGGCTGACCATCCTTGAGTGTGGGTAGCTCCATTCCACACACTGTAATAGAATAGAAGAGGAGAAAGAGGGAAGCAACTCAAAGCAACCATCATAAAAAAAAAAAATCAGGTTTAGAATGTAGCTAACTTGAAATGGGAAGTCTATGCAAAAATGTCAATGAATGCTAATTCATATTTTTATACATGTGTGTATGTTGTATATGTATATGAGGGTTTGTGCACATGGAGACCAGAGGCCAAGCCTGCACATGGAGACCAGGAATGCCATTCACTGCATCTGAGACAGGGTCTCTCATTGCCCTGGAGCTCACCAATTAGGCAAAACCAATTGGCCAGTGACAGTGAGCTCCTCCTTTACCTGCCTCTGGGCTAGGATTATAGGTTCATGGCCAAGCAGGGTAATTTTACATGTATTCTGGGGCTTGAACACAGCTCCACATACTTTCAAGACAAGAGCGTTATTGAACAAGCCACCCCAGCCCCCAAATTCTTCTCAAAATTCACATTTGCGGGTATTTAAAAAATACCCTTTTCCTTTTATCATTTGCCACACCCCCTTCCTTAGCTGGTTCAGTATTGCAGGCAGAGATCTCCTACTCAGGAGGCATAGGCAAGGCCACGGACAGACCTTGTGCAAGCATTAATCAAATCTCCCTCTGAGTATTTAGATTTCCTCCAAATTCCACAGGCGATGGCAGGTCTACTAACAAACTGAATGTCATGTGTCAAGTGGCTTCATCTTCCTGAACTTATTTCCTCAGGTGTAAATGGAAATGAATAAAGCCTGCCTTGAAGGAGTGTTACAAGGATCCTATATGATGTGGTATTTAAAGTACTTATCAAGGGTTCGAGTGAAGCAACACCTTGACTTTTCTTTCATGCTCGTCTCACCTAGCCTTTCTCAAATGGAGGGACATCTGTCAATATCTGAAAACACTTCCAGCTGTTATAATCAAGGGAGGGTTGCTAGCCCCACGGTGTATACCATACACCCCCATAGCAAAGAATTATCTGGCCTAAAACGTCAAGTAGAGCCACTCTTGAGAAACACTGACCCAGCCTCCATTTAAACAACTTTCCTGACTTGAAACTATTACAATGGGAGGCTGTCCACAGGCTCACCAGAAAGTGCCATAAGCAAACTATAGGTTGAATTGTGGCAACAAGGTGAATTTGTCCATCTCTGTACAACAACTTCTAGTCGGGAGGGATGGCTGTTTTCCCATCCAGCTCCTCAGCAAATCCCAAGGACATTTGAGGACAAGAAAGAACAAAACTACTACTGTTCAGCCATATTTATACTGTTCAGCCATATTTAAACAGGTATACTCCTGTTTTTCCCCACAAATCTCAGAGGACTAGAAGAGTCAGAATAAGCCCGCTTAGATGCAACATCATGTGTAAAGCCATAAAGGACACCCAGCAGATGTGTCTGGAAACAAGAAGTTACAAGTGCACTGACTGCCCAGGGTACAATTTTTAGTTTCTTTCCCCCCAAATCACTATAAAAAAGCAGCACACCTGGAATTTTGTTATACATACCCCAGAGAAGCCCAGACTGTGCTGTTTCACAGCCAGTTCACTGCTTTGTTTTGAAAACACATACACACACACACACACACACACACACACACACACACACACACACACACACACTACTGATTTTTACTAGCATAATAATAAACACAGGAAATGTAAAAAGTCAGGTTGCCACCGTGAGCTTGAAATCACTGTCAGATCTTATTGGAGATACATTTGTTCTGATTGCTGGCACGCTAGCCCCCTTTAGCCATGTCACAGTTGGCGAGCAGAGAGGATGCTTCTGCGTCATTTGCAGTGTCTGAACCCAATGCAGACAATCAGCTGCAACATTAGTC